TGGTTGAAAATTACACTTTAAAATGGTACCTACATTTTGGTTATCAATATGAGGAAAAATTACTAATTTAGAACATGGGAAACAATAACAATATTAACAATTTAAAAAACTTTTTGATAATAAAATGAACCATGCATGGAAAAGGAAAAATCTTACCTTTATAAGGCTGTCCTTCTCAAATCTGAAACAAAACACCAATTTAAGTAAAAAAAAAAAGGATGAAATACGTGGAGTTTTAAATTGATTACCAACATTTTAGCAAAATGGATCCACAATAACAAAGCCAATTTCCTAGAAGATAAGGAAAGATAAATGGACAAACCAAATATGTACCCCCAGCATTATTTTTCATCTAATACAAACGTTGAATTCAAAAAAAATCTATGCAGTATATTTATTAAGAAGTAGACATTAGCTATTTGTACAACTAGTTTTGAAAGTGATACTTTTTTTCATGAATTTGCAGTTTGAGTAATGAGGGCGAAATTGTGCTTTTCATATTACCTACCTGTTCTGTGAAATCAAGAAAATGAATAGGTACTTTCTGAATGTTTTACAAGAAATCAAAAATGAGGGATTAAAATTACCTAATAATGCACAAAAATTAGGGATTAGATTCAATAAAAAAGTGTCGGCATTGGAAAAAGGAATTTACATGTATTGTTTTTCCCTATCTACTTTTAAAAGGCACGGCGCCTAATTTTATGCAACCAAAATAACTCCTATTTTCATTTTCCTTCGTGTGCGATGTATTCTAAAGAAAAGTTAGTATAATGCCGGTGACAGTTTAAGGAGCTTAAGAAGTGAACTTGCATAAAATTAGGGCCACCCATCAGAAAAGATTTTGTCTTTTAAAACTACGCATAGGGAAAGATAATACCTAGATGTAAATCCCTACATTTACTTCTGTAGCTAGTTCAGTTCCCCGCCATTGGCGTTATTTCCCAAATATATTGAAGTATATGTAGATCACTTTATATTAAATAAGGCATTTACAAATTCTGGATTTTTCAGTAAAAGCCAAGGGGCGATGTGAGGAGTTAAATAGGAAGTGATATTATCTGCTATCTTAGTGTAATTCTTACACTATGCTGCTACTCGCTTCTAACAGGAACCTTTTACACTCGCCTTTTCAGCATTTTAAATTAATAGCGCTATGGTTGGTAGAAATTAATTCCTTTCGTTGAGACCTTTCATTAGAGTACCATGAAGGATAAAACTAGTTTCACCCCCTCCCCTCCCTCTCCACCCCGTACTTTGATAAGAGGACAGAAAGAACAGGGGTAGTTGGTACAAAACGAAAAAGAGTCGCACGGGAAAGTTATAATTTGTACAAACCAATTTATTTCGATGAGACCTTTCATTAGAATACCATGAAGGGTAGAACATGTGTCTAACCCCCCCCCCCCCCATTTCTAAAGTTTAACTTAGCACCATTAAAAAGCATGCGTATCGCGTATGCAAAATCTGAGATCAATTCGTTGTCGTATGTAAAAGCTATGCACGTTTTACTTTCAAAAACAGCATCTCAGGAAATATTTCGTGGGGAGGGCCCCCTATTAGACAGCTAAATTTGATGACCGTCTGGCAGACCTTCAAGTTATAGGCTACCTACTGCAAAAAATTCCTGGATTCTAGGACCATTACCATAGAAGTAGTTCAAAACGGTAGAAGTGGGACCGGGCGGACGGACGAACGAACGGACGGACAAAACGCAAACAATTAGCACATTTTTCTTCTTAATTCTTAAAAAATGCGCTAAAAAAGTACATTTCTTATGCTGCAGAGACCTGTGGGAGACCTGTATCCTGTATCTATCAAATAAGTTCTCCATCCAGTGTCGAGATCTCGTCCTTCTCACGTACGGACGGAAAACCCTGTAATAGTGCAGTTTTCAAGAGATAAAGTGCGCTATTACGGAGATTTCCGTCCGTACGTGAGAAGGACGAAATCTCGACACTGGATGGAGAATCATATAGAAATTATTTTAATAGCAATAACCTTCATGTAAAGGGTTGATGCAAAAAGACATGTTATCGCTTTCTACCCTTCACAAAAGGGAATTCTTTTACAAAAATTAAATCAATTTCTTCCTAGTGAAAAGTTACCTGAAGACATGAGGGACGTCGTACGGAGTGATATTTTGCTTTCCCCCTTCAGATACCTAGGAAACTTTTGTACAAAAATCATCGTTTCAAGAACAGTCTTGTTTTTTGTTCTCCGCACATTACAAAAGAAGCCTTTCAAAACTTAACTTTCTATTTCATTGGTTAAATGAAGAGAAAGACGATTGGGTACTGCTTGAAAAAAGAATCTTTTAAAGAAAATGCACTTTTCAGAGAAAGGGTAGCCGAAAGAATGGTCCGATGAAGGAGAAGACGGAGTTCACTTCTTGCACGGTAGGTAATCATTTTGAAAAGGAATCTTTTTGCCGAATTTTAGATTAATAGCACCACAAAATTAGCTGAAGCACAGACGGCGACGTGGACGGACGGAGATCTTTCTCGGACGCTACTCTAAACGGGAAACGGAAACCCATCTGGCGTGTTTAGGCACTTGTCCAATCATTACCGTAAAAAATAAAAGTTTCGACAAATGGTTGCGGTTGACGCTGTATTAGAATCATGGGATATAATAATAATACCTATAAGCATTGTTTAAATAAAGTATTTAAACAATGCTATAGGTACCTACCTACCTATACACCATGATTGGAAATTGGGATTGAAAGAGGCTACAAAAGAGAGTATACATAACTCAAAAATTTAAAGTTCCTAAAGTAGGTACGAGTACAAAATCCAATTTGTTTAGTGTTTCATTTCTCATTAATAAAATATACGGTCATTTTGAATGTGCATATCGGCCGCACACACCGGTTGATGACGTGGCGCGCGCGTTATCTTTGAACACGTGTGGCAAGTTACAATGATACAGTTCCTAATTTTGAAATATGAAAGGCATTTGCTTATTTATATTTATCAAAAATTACATTTTTATTTCTACAACATCCCGTGTGTGCCCAAAATCTAGTTTGGAACGCGTTATCGGCGAATAAGGTGCTATTTTCGGCACAGTTTTTGAATCAAAAAATAGGTAATAGTCATCCGCGTAGGTACATAACAATTGCATGTATATGTACAAAAGAGAGCATACATAACTCAAAAATTTAAAGTTCCTAAAGTAGGTACGAGTACAAAATTCAATTTATTTAGTGTTTCATGCGGTCATTTTGAATGTGCATCGGCCGCACACCTGTTGATGACGTGGCGCGCGTTATCTTTGGACACGTGTGGCAAGTTACAGTTCTTAATTTTGTAATTGTAATATTCTGAAGAAAGTATAATAACGCAAATCAATATGAAAGGCATTTGCTTATTTATATTTATCAAAAATTACTTATTTTATTTCTACAACATCTAGCGTGTGTGCCCAAAATCTAGTTCGGCACGCATAAGGTGCTATTTTCGGAGTATTAGGCACCATTAAAAAACTAAATTGGCTCAGAAATGATTTAGCAAACACATTTTGGAATTTTCGGTTACTGAGGATAAAATAACTCACCCTTTTAGCCTTAATATTGATTCAGTTTCCCTTTGAAGAACCATTAGGTACCGATCACCACTAAAAGAAGACGACGCGCACTTTCACTGCACTAACATAACAGGTGACGCAAAGAATCAGTGCCTTACTGGAATTCTTTGACCAGTTCCGCGCCGACGCGACGCGACGCTCTTATCGCTATTCGTCAATGTAAAGTGAAATTTATTCCCACAACTAGAAAACATCTGTTAAATACGCATTTTTGAATTTGGATTTAGATGTGTACAAAAATTCAATCTGAATTTTGGCCCCGCCTAGCTGTTTTGTGATGTTTTTAAAATTATTTCCTCTTTTCTATACCTACTCTTCCTAAAATTTGCCATTATGTACCTATAAGTACCTATACCTTGTCTTAGAAAATTCAAAGATCTGCTAAATTTGAATTACCCAACCTTCTAGTTGAATCTGATTTGATATTCATCTGGTACTTTTTCAACAAATAAAAAGTACAAAAACCAAAACCACTTCCTGCCTATTAAAAGGGATAGAAAATTGTAAAACCCCATTTGCAATACTTACGTTTTAGGAAAGTGCTTGAAAAATTCTTTCATGGAAATCATTTTTTATGGAAATAGGTACAAATCTTGATGATGTCGATCGATCTGTCTGGCTGTCTGTCCGTACTTTCATTTCTGGTTAAACAGCTGAACAGATTTAACGCAAATTTCATACACATTTAGACATAAAAGGAATAGCTGGGGAGAATCGCGCATGCGCCACTGTATGAAACTTTCATTACCGGCTAAATGGCTGAACATAAAAGATCAGAATCGCCCATGCGCAGGTGTGAGGATGGTATCTGTCCTATAGCCACAGCAAATATTTTTCTTTTTCTAGATTTCACATGTTCATATAATCTGTTGTCTTAGGAATCTACAGGGTTTCTGGAGATAAATTCTTTTACAATATTTCCGCAGATCCCTCAAACTCTGATCATACTCCACAAATCTTGTAAGATTTTTGAAATTTATTTGCACTGCAAATTTTCCTGTTTTGTTCACATCCCCCACAGGCTTATAGCTGTGACACGGCAAAAAAACGCGTTGGGCACAGTGTGAAAATCAAACCCGCTCCTGTGCGGACACGGCAATACTAACTTTCTTATTTATTGAAGCAACATTTGTTTGAAATTTTCAAGTTTTAGCACTTTTAGTAAAGACAAACATATTGCATATATTTCAAATTTTCTTACTTATCATTTTTTAGCGCATTTTCCAATAACCAAATGCTTCAATTCCTCTATGTCCGGGGCATTAAATGCTCCCGTTTTGAAAGAGCTTTAATTGAATCTTTTAAATCTTCTCACTTGAGATTCTTTCAATCCTACTCATTTTCTCGATATATCCTTCCTATTTTTTCTTTAGATAGCAGAGGTGCAAGGTTAAAAAAAAACTTCCACATTACCTATACTAGTTTATGTATTTAACTTAACTGAAAACAGTTTTAACAAAAACTTGGCTTGCACATACGAATAAATCGGCAAAACAATAAACTTCATTTACACAAATAAATTACTTATGGAGACAACACATACATTGGTATTTTTCTTGCAAATACATTTAAAACGAACCTTTTGTTGAAGAATAAACAAATTTAACGGAGCGTAGACTAGGCCAAGCTTTTTTTTGCCAAACGAGATAAATAAAAAAATAAAGGCACAAGTATGCTGAAAGTTCCATTACAGTTTTGTAACATATTTGAGTACACTAGAGAACAGAAAATCCACTTCCAATGGAACTCTCAGCATCGATCTCATCTAATTAAATTCTTTTAATCAAATTAACTATTTACACAAGCAGTCTAACTCCTTTTTTAAAAGTTACGGCAACACAATTATTTAACGTACCATGTAAAATTATCTTACCCTTATCGTAATTGGTTTAAAAAATAAAAAACTAAAGGTGGTAAATAATGTGTTGCGAAAATATCACTTTCATTATCGTTATATAAAAATATCTACAGTTTCCAATCAACAAAATAGATTACTCGCAGGAACATAAGGAGTGAGCCTACTTTATTTGACACAGACAAAATTATTCGGCAACAATAATAAACATATCGCACCTTCGGTAGAAAATAAGTGCATTATTATTTGATACATTTGTCTGTGTTTTATCATATAATGAATATGTGCGGGGCCTGACCCATGAGAATATCACAGAAAGTATAGCCAATATGGCAATCATATAAATATTATATTTCAATATTTATACATCGAAGTATTTTTTCAATGATTTTCATTAAACCACAAGAGACGAATTATTCATCTTTAAATATCAGTAAAAAATTCTAAATTCTATGGATCAGACCATGTAATAAACCTACACTATAATACACGTACAATGTAGGAATATATAATTATTACTTAACAGTTGTTCTCGTTCAAGCTTAAGACCCAACTGTGAACATCGTACAATACGCATGACAATTTTCTTTTAATAATAAATTCTAAAACGTTTCAACATTATATTACAAGTACCGAAAGGGCTCAACGCGCATTTCGGATATTCACAGCCAATCCAAAACTTTCGTAGTTAAAGTATACCAGGTCTGAAAAGCATCATTCAGTGTTACACAACTTGATTTTTAACGTCTCATTGAATGCATATATTTTTTTTACAAAATATACCTTAAAATTAAGGCTAACTGTCACAGGACATTAATTGCTATAATATATTTACATGCGACGGCGCGTTCGCAATAACACTATCGAGGATTTCGTCTTACTGCTTTTAGTCTCCTTCGCTGCGTTACCGGCGAATTTTCGGGCGTCGCGCTGAAATACGAAACGTAAGTTGTTGCACGACGAGGCGCGTGAGGTACTTACGAAAATCCAGTCACCATATTTCCAGCGGTGAAGTTGAAGTTTGGTTTGATGTTCGCGTTAAATGACGGGGGCGCTTGTGCCGGTGCTGTCTGACCGAAATTGAAGCCGCTTGCCGTCGCCGCCTGGAATAGTCTATTATTAATAAATGGGCGATTATAATAATGACTTTATTAGACAGGGATAGCATCCGTGTCTGCTCTTCCACTCAACCCAATTCGAACAAGTGATAATAGTTACTAAAAACAAATGATTCTATAAACTAATTATTTGTCACTGATTATCAAACAATCAATTATTATATGCCCAAACAAACCTTTTTCCAATTCGGACCAATCTCAATGGACATCTTTATTTTACTGCTTTCAAACGAAGATCAATAAATATGTGGCCTAAGAAGAGTGATAGTTTGCACTGCTCAGCAGGCGGAAACACAAGATCACTTGTGATTTGCACAAAAAATTAATTTTATACCAGATTGAAATTTTCTATGACAAATCAAAGGAGTGAAATTATGACACAATGTATAGCTAGGGCTAGAGCGTCATTTTAGAATTGAAGGCCACATCGAGACATGGCATTATTGACAATAATAAAGAAATTGCCATCTGCGGCGAACAGTTACCACTTTTAGACATAAACTCTCAAAACATTTTCTTTAATGACAAGCTTGAAGCCCAAAAAACTCATACAACACCGTAAGATGATGACAGTATCCCCTTTCTAAAGTAACATTCTGTAAAATAAAAACAAAAAACTGAAGGGTCTATGACCTACTTACCGACTACCAGTCATACTAGTCGCTTGGCATCTTTGATAGTAATAACTTGCAGCTTTCAACCGTTCAACATATGTTGCGGAAGTAATCGCTAAAAGTGTACCGCCTCTAATGTTCTACTGCAGAACAAGTAGCATTCGCCTTGTTTCTGTGGCTCCATTGTGAAAAAAGAAAATTTAGTAAACGTCCAAAAATCAACTTCAAGATTTGTTGGATTTCAATGTGCAGAAAAGTGGTTTCCTTCCTGATATCTCCCTGTGTGACGGAAAAACGAAGATGGTAAGAGAAGTCTATTAATCTGAATTAAATTGACACATAACCTCACAGAAGTGTTTTAACTAGTTTTGTCAAAAATGTTCTTAGAAAAGGTCAAAACTCGAAAATATGTACACAATTATAGGCAAAAATTCAGTCTACTATGGCCAGCCAGCTGGCGATATGGAAGATATGTCGGAATTGTGTATGAAGTTTGTGAAATATCTGATTGCTAAAATTCCTTTAATGTTCTAATTGTGGAAAATTTGAACATTACCCTGAAACATGTAAATATTGCAAAAAATCTGGAAATGTTTTAAAATTAAAATGTAAGTTGGTACACAGTATGCAGACAGGAGCACCATTGGATTAGAGATGTGCACATGCGAAGAAGAACATCCTCTTAATGGGAAAATCCTGTGGTTTTGTACGAGGTTTTAGTGCAGTAAAATCCAAAATATGCATATGTTAAAATAAACACTTTTCAGAATACAATGTAAAAAGAATCATTTTTGTTCCAATTTGGCCCAGGTCATGGCGATGATTCATTTTGCTTTTCATAGTATTAATTAACAATTAAGCTATCAGCGAAATGGCGAAAATAAAGCGAAATTAAAAGAACATCAAAAATCACAGTTAATTCAAAAAATTAGAACGGGCTCTGCACATCACACTATAGTCAGTAAAATGAGTAAGTTCGCACATCGGATTAGCGCTTATATTCACAGCGCGCATGAGGTTATACATCTTTCCTTATTTAAAACATGACATTTGAGGTAGAGGGCAAGTGCGTATCTAGTTTTACGAACCGCGGGCGGTGAACTAAGAATTACACTGGACGTTACAGACGTTTAAAATGGAGGTTGTTGCAGCAAAAAGAGAACGCAATAGTTAAGGTATGTTAGTCTCGGAATGGGAAACACCCACTTAAAAGTGTCAAGCCAGTGACGCTAATCCGATATGCGAACTTACTCATTTTACTGACTACTCCCCATTCTCAATATTAATTATTCTGATTCTTTTAGAGGAAGACAATTCATCGAGTAATGGCGTGAGAAAACGTCCGATAGGCTCCCCAAACATGTACACTTTTGCAAAAAAGTATAAGTTAGCCCCTTCTAACCCTCCCAGTCCTACGCCATCGCATGTATCTGTGGTTAGCGATAGAATTTTACACATGCAATCCCTGGATTCGATAATAGAAACAGGGAAAGTGAAGAAGTTATCTGTTAAAGTTTACGAACTTAGGAAAAAATTAAAGGCAAAACAACTTCAATTGAAGAAAAAAGCATCAGTCTCGTTTCGTTTGATAGAAAAGCTGTTAAAAAACAAAAGTATGCTGTTAAGACTTTTACAAAAATGCAAATATTTCACCACCAGCGAAGGCCCTGGACCAAAGCAGAGAAAGATCTAGCATTACCGTTTTATTACAAATCGCCATCTCTATATAAGTTTATGCTTAAGAATTTACGATTTACTTTTCCTTCCTATCGAACTATACAAAAATGGAATAGTGTTTTTAAATTAAAAATTGGGTAAGAACTTAAAGATTGAGTAAAGGAACTTAATTACTTCATTGCCTCAATTGGTTTGTTCAATAGTTTATCGGTTTTACAAAATAAAATATTATTTTGTATTTTATTGGTAACTCTACGAGTTATGTCTATTTTGTTTATTGCACGCGCTCACTTACTGCCAACACGCATTGAGTAATTAATAGTATATTTCATTAGGAGTCCGGAAAGCAGGCTTTTTCCGTGCGCGCGTGGCAAATTCCCGTGTGAGGCGTAGGCGAAGTCATGCAAGCACGGAAAAAGCATTTCTGGACGTGTAATGAACAATATTTTTTATTATACTTCTTTTAAATCGATAACATAAAAAACAACAAACTCGCTAACATTTTTATTTTGTAACAGTTATAGAACATGCGTTTTCATCGAGGTTTTCATGGTTACTCTCAAATCATTTCAAAGGCGATTTGTTTAATTAGTTTATTTCAGATAAGGTTGACGAAACGTCAAAAAATGTCACAAATTCTCAAAGAAGTTTATCTAAATATTCAAACATCTACGAATTAAAACGCAAAATACTTACATATGAAACATTACAACGCATATAGATTTTTTGAAAATTAGTTTACTTCCCTGTAAATTTGTATTTTAAAGCAATATTTTGGGTATTTATATTCAGCACACGGAAAGAATCAAAGGGATCGGGAAAAGTTTTTATTTGTTACTCAGTTGTAAACGTTGATTAACAAGACAAAACGCAAACGGGTAAACGTCATGTTTAAACGCTACTGACTTGTAAAACTGACAGCAGACCTGTAAAACTGACAGCAGACCTGTAAAAATTTTACAAGTTAGTAATCTAGTAATTTCATTGGCCAGAATTAATGCGAAGTCTGTTACATGGATAACATGATATTTTAGACAATTCTTCAAGATTAATTTAAGGTCTAATTATTTACGTTTACTATTGTTTACAAATGAGTAACAAATAAAATATTGTACATTATACGCCAGGTAATAGTTTTTACTGGCTCTAGGAGATGACAGGCTCGCCAGTCAATTTCTCCTATCGCCAGTAAAAACTCACTTACCTGGCTAATAATGTAAAATACTATTATTTGTTACTCAGTTGTAAACGTTGATTAACAAGACAAAACGCAAACGGGTAAACGTCATGTTTAAACGCTACTGACTTGTAAAACTGACAGCTGACCTGTAAAACTGACAGCTGACCTGTAAAAATTTTACAAGTTAGTAATCTAGTAATTTCATTGGCCAGAATTAATGCGAAGTCTCTGTTACATGGATAACATGATATTTTAGACATTTGTTCGAGATCAATTTAAGAACTAATTATTTACGTTTACTATTGTTTACAAATGAGTAACAAATAAAATATTGTACATTATACGCCAGGTAATAGTTTTTACTGGCTCTAGGAGATGACAGGTAAAAACTCACTTACCTGGCTAATAATGTAAAATACTATTCCGTGCGCTAGCCTGGAAAAGGCCAGATACCATTATTTCTGATACAGGTGTAAATAAGCTGATTTCAATGAAGTATAATAAAAATATTATTCCCGCACTCTATGCGGTATTTGTACATTTCCATTTAGCATTTTTTTTAATAGGATGAAGAATGAACTAATTAAGAAATTAAAATTAAGGGCCAATATAATGACTGAACGAGAAAAAGTGTGTGTGGTGGCATTTGACGAAATATCTTTAAAACAACATTTGGATTTTGACGAAGGTTATGATGTAATTGAGGGATATGAAGACTTGGGGTGTTTGGGAAGAAATTCAAAAATAGCAAATACTGCGCTTGTATTTTTAATTCGTGGACTTTTGCACAATTGGACAATTCCGCTTGGATACTTCATTTCAGCTGGATCCGTTAAAGGCATAGAATTAAAGAGCATAATTGAAAATGTAGTGAAGACGTTGAGGCAAATCTCTTTAAAGCCTGTATTATTAGTTTGTGACCAGGGCGCTAATAATCGATCAGCATTCAATTTACTTGGGGCCTCTGCGGAATCTCCAGAAATAATTATTGATGATGAGACTCTATTAAAATTGATTCAAAAAGTAAAACGACTCGAACTATGTACAAAAATAAGCAAGAACACCTCAACCCCAACAGCTTTCAGAAAATGCGAGTGAAATTTGCTGTGCAAATTTTTCCTCACACTGTAGCTGCAGCTATAAAATCGGCACAAGAAATAGGTCAACTGAGAAGTACGACATCTTTCGCTACAGCAACATTTATCGAAAATATAAACAACATTTTCGATGCATTAAATAGCCGCGTCTTAAGAGACACAAATCCTTATAAACGCCCCTAGTCCATTTATAATTCTAAAACTGAAGATGTTCTTGAAGCCGGTTTAGTGTTATTTTGAAAACATAGAAGTGTATGAAAATAATCGACAAAGAAAAAACATTTACTGTCTGAAAGGTTTTTTCAATGGACAATAAAAGCCATTCTGCTACTGTGGAATAAATTGAAAAAGGAGCAAGTGAAGTATTTACTAACCAACTTCACTAATCAAGACCCTCTTGAAACTTTTTTTCCGTCGTGAGGAATCACTCTGGCTACAATCCAAATCCCACAATCCGTCAATTTAGAATAAGTATGGAAAGGAATATTTCAATAAGATTGTAATCAAATTTGGGTAATTCCAATAAGTGAAATTGATGATTCGGAACACTTGGACTTAGATGTAGATATACCAGGGGCAAATAACGAATCAAATAGTGAGATGTCTGGAAATATCAGCTTTTTAAGGAAAGTTTCTGAGTTGAATAAAAATTCAAACATTGAAAATAGCGAGAAAGTAATACAAAACAAGGAAAATATTGAACCCATTCCCGAAAAGCCAACCTTTGAATTGTCCTCTAACATTTATGTAACGGGATATTTAGCCCATACGCTTTTAAAACATCATGATTGTGAAATTTGTAAACCAATTAATTTAAAATCAGACAGTGCTATTATTAATAAAAGTGAAATATTTTTGCTTCAAAAGGACTACAGTGGTGACAAATCTATTCATTTCTTAAAAAGACCTACAGACGAATTTACGAAGCTAATTCAAGATATTTTGCATTATTTTCCACAGCCTTTGAAAAACAAAAACGTTTATTTGGTGTGCGAAAATATATAAAAACTTATTGTGAGGAAGGTTTAAGACACAGATTGGGCATGTGCGCGAATCATTTTGAGTACGTGTTGAATAATGCCATCAAAATGCTTATTCACCACAATATCCGTAAAGAAACGGCTGGTTACAAATCTTCCCACCAAAAAAGAAGAAAAGTGTCAATTTTAACGAACAAATGAATTTACCTTATTAGTGATTTAAATAAAAAATTTAGCTTTCGGCTAATTGTTACATGTGTGAATTTAAATTTTATTTTTTCTCTAATGTTTCTATTCTTAAAATTAAATTTAGCTTCTGGTCAGTAAACAATTTATAATTTTGACTTATTCGTATCAGCGCGAATACTATCTAAAATCGTTGCTAAAATTAAATCCGCACTCCCAAATA